ATTGAATTTTGTGACCACAGTTGCAAACAGCCTCCAGAGATCCTGTTCTACACCAGACCAGTGGAGCCAAACTGCAGCCCATCATCATCCTCATCTGCTTGTAAGTAGGCAATCTAGTATATTATTAGTGACACTAATCTATAATTTACCTCACATTAAAGGGACACTATAGCTTAATGAAGTGGTTCTGTTGTCTATAGCTGGTCGCTGCAGGCTTTTTAATGTAAACACACACTGTGTGCAGCACTGGTGTTAGTTCATATGGCAGGTCATATGGGTGGGGCATTGTGATGTGACATGTGGGGGCAGCAAATTTTTATTTTGTCTAGGGTGGCAAAAATCCTTGCACCGGCTCTGATCCTGGGCAGGTGCACCAGTCTACTTGACTGGTTTTGCCCCCCAGGCCTAAGGCTGCCAGCCCTCCCCTGGCTGCTGGGGAGGTCTTTTGGCGGCCGCTGGCGGACTTGTCCTGGCGGCCGCTGAGGGAGCTGCGCGAGCTGCGCTGGCTCTGCTCCCCAGCACGCAGCTGAATGAGACCGGCGCCGGAATATGGCGTCATATTCCGGCGCCAGTCTCATTCAGCAGCGCGCGAGGGCGGGAGGGCACTAACACAGGAAGCACCTCTAGTGACCGTCTGAGTGACTGTCACTAGCAGTGTCACTTTGAAGCAATGTAAACACTGCGTTTTGTCTGAAAAGTCAGTGTTTACGTTGAAAAGCCTGTAGGGACATGCTATAGACACCAGTACCACCACATTAAGCTGTGTGTGTGCGTCTGCTAGTGAGAGAGCTTGCTTGCATGCGTGTGCCTGCTAGTGAGTGAGCTTGTGTTTTTATGTCAATGAGCTGATGTATATCAGTAAGATTGTTTGTCTATGAGGCTGTGTATCAATGAGCTTGTGTGTGTCACTGAAGTGTCTGCATGTGTGTATGCTTACTGTATAATTAAACGTTTTACCCTGAAAGGACCAATATTTTATATTAGAAAAAGCTATATATATATATATATATATATATATATATATATATATATATACATATATATACACACATATACATACATACATACACACACACATACATACATACATACACACACATACATACATATATACACATACATATACATATATATAGCCACATATATATACATACATACATACATACATATACATACATACATACATACATACATACATATATATATTGGCTACTCAATCATCTGTCCTGGCAAGACATAGTCTTACATATTACATCACGCATAATATATATGAAAGTGACCTCATGGGGCCATACAAATTTTTCCAGGGAATAAGCCGGTATCCCTGAACCGCCCCAAGGTACAGGGAGGTTGGGACAAAACAGGTTTAGAGAATTGAGGTGCTAGGGACATAGCCGTACGTCTGGTCTTGCTTCTGGTGACTTCTCTGAGTCTTAACCTATTATCAATATGCATGACAAACGTAATAAATTCGTTAAGACTCTTAGGTAATTCTTTAGCGGCTATCTCATCTAGTATAGTCTCTGAGAGACCCTTTTTGAATGCTGAGATTAACCTATTGTTAGTCCAGTCTACCTCGGAAGCTAAGGTACGGAATTCAATAGCATAATCCGAGATAGACCGGTTACCTTGTCTGATGTGCATTAGGGCAGTGGAGGCGTCATCCTCTCTACCCAATGGCTCAAACGTGAGCTTGAATTCGGCAAGGAATTCCTGGTAATTATGAGCTACGCTCCGTTTACTCTCCCACAACGGATTAGCCCAGGCAAGGGCCTTGCCCTTTAATTGATTCATTAGATAACCAATTCTTGCTCTGTCCGTGGGGAATGACCCTGGTGAGTCCTCAAAATGGTACTCCACCTGATTAAGAAAACCCCTGCATTCCTGGATATTGCCATCAAACTGTAGGGATGGTGATAAGGAGATGCAAGGAGTCCTATTAACAGTGGGTGGAGGTACACAGGGTAGAGGTGCTATAGGAGGAGATGCTGCAGGCTGCAGATGCTCCGTTCTAGCGAGAAGCGTACTTAAAGCCTGAGTGAATTGATCCATGCGGTGATAATTCTCCTCTAATTTCCTCTCGCAAGCAGCTATGTGCTGACACAGTTCTACAGGATCTATGGCCATGTCGTAATGTCAGGATTACTGTTTGATCCAGCACATAGAACTGTACAGCACGGATGACAAATAAGTAACGCATTACCGGTCCTTAGAATGGCCGGATTTAACGTACAAAGAATAGTCAAAAATACTAGCCGAGGTCAGGGAACACAGAAAGGGACACAGCGATGAGGAAAGCCAGGAGTCAGGATACCAGAATATAGAGAAGTCAATAAACAAAGCCAAAGTCAAAAAACCAGGTAGAAAACTATAAACAGGAACGCGCTCTCAGACAACCACAAGGGAAACCACGACAGGGCACTGAGCAGGCTGAGAACTGGGCCTAAATACCCCTCCTTTAGTTCTGATAGGCTGTAACCGGCCTTTGACCCCAAAGTCAGTTACCAGGTTTCATTTGCATAATTGCTGCTCAGCATTAACCCTTCTGTGGATTAGGTTGCTGCTCGGCACAACTTTTCCTGTGTGGACAGTAAATGTCATTAATCACTTTTCTCTAAGCGGATGAATACATGACACCAGGTTTCATTTGCACAATTACTGCTCAGCATTAACCCTTCTGTGGATTAGGTTGCTGCTCGGCACAACTTTTCCTGTGTGGACAGTAAATGTCATTAACCACATTTCTATAAGCGGATGAATATGTGACAAAGAAGAAGGGGAGTAAGAAGAAGGGGGGGGTAAGAAGAAGAAGGGGGAGCAATAAGAAGAAGGGGGTAAGAAGAACAGGTGGGGGAGTAAGAAGAACAGGTGGGGGAGTAAGACGACCAAGGGGGGAAGTAAGAAGAACACAGGGAGGAGGGGGGTAAGACGAACACAGGGGGTGTGAGGAGAACACATAGAGGGAGGAGTGAGAAGAACACAGGGAGGGTGGAGGGGGGGATGAGAAGAGCACAGGGAGGGTGGGTGAGTGTGAGAAGAGACCGCTAGGGGAGGGTGGGGGAGAGGAGAGACCACTAAGGTGCAGGGGAGAGCTCTACGGGACAGAAGGGGCAGCTCTATAGGACAGGGGCCAAGACAGGGAGCTCTTTCACACTACGCGCGCGCACACACACACACACACACAATGCATCCCTATACATACACAGAAACACAACATGCTTCCCTTACACACAGAGAAACACACAATGCTCCATTACACACACACACAATGCAACCCTTACACACAAAGACAATGCATCCTTTGCACACATACACAGAAACAGACAATGCAAACCCGTACACACACATGCAAACACACACACTTCTTTTCTAACATACACACAATGCACACACATACAGACACACACCTTGCATCCCTTATGCATACAAACACAGATTCACACAATGCATCCCTTACACACAACCAGAAACACATAATACATCCCTTATACACAAATACACACTGCTTCCACTACACACAAACACACTGCATCACCTGCACAAACTGGTATCCCTATACACTACATACCATAAGCACACATATTAGATCCTCTACAATAACACATAACACATCCCCTACACACTCCACTCCCTGTGAGCGAACTCATGGGTGGGTGGAACTTATGAGTGGGCCTTATGGGCATACTCACCGTCAGGCCCTGTGGCCCAGACCCCAAAAAATGGAGCTGCTTCCAATTCTCCCAGAACATTGAATTTTGTGACCACAGTTGCAAACAGCCTCCAGAGATCCTGTTCTACACCAGACCAGTGGAGCCAAACTGCAGCCCATCATCATCCTCATCTGCTTGTAAGTAGGCAATCTAGTATATTATTAGTGACACTAATCTATAATGTACCTCACATTAAAGGGACACCATAGCTTAATGAAGTGGTTCTGGTGTCTATAGCTGGTCCCTGCAGGCTTTTTAATGTAAACACACACTGTGTGCAGCACTGGCGTTAGTTCATATGGGTGGGGCATTGTGATGTTACATGGGGGGGCAGCAAATTTTTATTTTGTCTAGGGCGGCAAAAATCCTTGCACCGGCTCTGATCCTGGGCAGGTGCACCAGTCTACTGGTGACCCACAGGAGGGGAGTGCACTGATTGCACTGCACTCTCCTCCTGCCCAGCCCCATCTTTACCGCAGTGCAAGTGCCCTCTGCCCTTAATTTACAGTGGCTCACACTCACAACAAGCAGTGCCTGGAGCCGTGAAGGAGCGGGTATGGCAAAGAGCTACTGATTAGCATAACATCAATATCCGTTATAAAACCAGGAAAAGGTGGGCATGGATGGTGAACTGATTTGGTGGTGCAATGGGCCACTTGACTGGTTTTGCCCCCCAGGCCTAAGGCTGCCAGCCCTCCCCTGCTCACTGCTGTGGCTGATGGAGGAGGAGCATGTCTCTGTACTATGCTCCGAGCATGGTACAGAGACATGCTCCTCCTCCATCAACCACAGCAGTGAGAGGAGCAGGGCCGCCGGACCAGGGAAGCTGCCACCCGGCCTGGCGGCTCCAGCCAGGAACGCGGCCGGCCCCCTGACTTCTCCAGGTAAAGGGTGGGGGGGGAGAGGGGAATAGAGAGAGGAGGGAGAGACACAGGGAAAGGGGGGAGGGAGAGAGATGGGGAGAGACACAGGGAAAGGGGGGGGGAGGAGGGGAGAGACACAGGGAAAGGGGGGAGGGAGAGAGATGGGGAGGAGGGAGAGACACAGGGAAAGGGGGAGGAAGAGACACAGGGAAAGGGGGTGAAAGAGGCAGAGGGGGAAGAGAGAGACAAAGAGGGAGAAATGAGAGAGAGACACACAAGGGGAGGGGAAGAAAGAGGCAGAGGGGGAAGAGAGAGACTGGGAAGGGGAGGGGAGACATTGACACAGAGGAGCAGTGAGGGGGAGAAAGAAACATACAGAGTGACTGGGGGAGACAAAAAGGCACACAGAGGGGCTGGAGATAAAGAGACACACATAGGTGCAGTATATATCACAAAGCCCCCAAGGCTTTCCCCTGCCGGCCGATCTCCCTCCCCTGCCGGCCGATCTCCCACAGGCAGATCTCCCGTGCAGCCAGTCGGCAGGGGAGGAAGAGAGGACCTGGGGCAACGCTCCGGCTCTCACGAGGGTGAACTCTAGCCCTGGAGCTACGGGCTAGAGTTCACTCTCACCACTTCCTGGTGGTCCCAGTAGTAGGAGTGAACTCTAGCCCCATACACACACTACCCCACACACACACCATACACATTCACACACTGCCCCCACACACACACCATACACATTTACACACTGCCCACCCACACACTGAACCTTTCACACACATTGCACCACTGCTCCTATACCCTACTACAGCCCCATATCCCAGCAGACTCCAGGTAAGTTGTCAAACTGTTCTTAAACGGTTTGACGACTTACTCTGGGAGGGGGTGCCGACGCTCCTGGCACCATAACCACTACACAGAGGAGTAGTGGTTATTGTGCATGGAATATTTCTTTAAATAATCTACAAGTGCCCCTCTCAGGCTCAGGCTCTGGATCCGCCATTAGTATATGACATGTATATTAATGTGTGTATTAGTTTTATATCTCTATTATATTTACACATATTAATGTACATTTATAAATGCATAATACACAGAGAAATTTCATTAATATGTACCATATGTAATAAGCAGATATTGGCCCAGTCTTGTTGCTAGGTGCATACTCCAGCACAATAACATATTTAAAGTGAAGAGCACACCCACAGGACTTCAAAATAAAAAAATTTCAGTTGTGCCCTACATACATTCACCATTTCAGTCCCATTAACAAGCTTTCCTTAATATGTCAAGGTACTTGGACTGAAACATTGATTACATGCAAAGGCACGTCTGCTTAAAATAAATCTGCACTTTTGTTTATTTGGAAGCCTATGAGTGCGCTTTTTACGTTGAAGTACTTTTTAATTTTAAGTTATCTGTTCTAACTCTGTATCTGCACTCTATGCTGGCGCGATGCATTATGGGGCTGGTAAATATTTTTTTTCCAGGGCTGCTTTTAATTCCCAGTCCGGCCCTGCTCCCCAGTGTCCCTTAGTGTTCTCTCCTCCTCTCCCTGCCCCCCTGTGGCCCTTAGTAGTCTCTCCTCCCCCTCCCGTGTCCGTTAGTGTTCTCTCCTCCTCTCCCTCCCTCACAGTGTCTTTTAGTGGTTTCTCCTGAGGTTACATGTGGGCTTTTCTTTGTATCCCAAACAATTCTTCTGGCAGTTGTGGCTGAAATCTTTTTTGGTCTACCTGACCTTGGCTTGGTATCAAGAGATCCTGAATATTCCACTTCTTAATAAGTGATTGAACAGTACTGATGGACATATTCAAACACACATGCTCCATGCTTACATTCAAACACACATACACTGCTCACAAATACAACCCTGCAAGGATGGGAAAGTGGTAAATCTCCAGTTGGCAAAGCATTGTATGGGCCCAAAAAAGTTTCTTGCACAAGGCTCTCTTTACATTAGTTCTGCTACTGCAACAACATGAGTGCACCTTCCTTGATATTTATACTTTGTGAGTGCACCTTCCTTGATATTTATACTTTGGTATAAGTGATTTTCAGCCAGGCAAGGACAAGACTGGGAGAGTGAGTGGATCTATATATATATATATTATATGTAAAAAACAGATAACATTTGTATCTTTTAATACCTTTTTATTGAATTTTTTAATGACCCGCTGATACAGGGGTTAAAGCGACATGAGTGCAGATAAGACACAGGTTTGATAGAACATAGACACCATTCTTGCAGAGGGTCGTAAATATCTTGTGAGAAGATCACAGAGTGAGGGGGGAGAGAGAGAGAAAAAAAAGCAAACAGTCAGAAGATGGTGCTAGAAGGTGGGAGTATTAATATTAAGAATGCATGAATTCCCATCAAAGAGTTACAGGATATGCATGAAGACCTAGAATACACAGACACACACACACACGTACATATACACAACTAGTGTATATGTACAAGTATACACAAGAACATACACACGATACACAGGTACATACAACATACATATAAATACAACCAAATGCCCAAAATATATGTACATGCACACCTACACATACATCCACACAAGCACCAATACATGTATCTACACATTATTATTATTATTAATATAGCGCCATCAGATTCCGTAGCGCTGTACAATGGGTGTTTTATACCAATGTTCCTACACATACATAGATCCATATATATGTATATGTGCACATACAGTGGCGTACATACCAGGGTCGCAGGGGTCGCGGCTGCGACCGGGCCCGGCCCACCAGGGGGCCCGGCCGCCCCTGTGACCCGGTATGTAGCCACAGGGCCAGCCTCTTCACCTGGGGGGCCCAAGAGCCGACCACCCCAGGGCCCCAGAGGCTGGCCCTGCTGACACCGGGCAGGCGGGCGCGTGAGGGAGCACTCAGTGCTTCCTCTTCAGCTCCCTCGCGCACCGCACTGATACCGGAGCCGGAAGATGACGTCATCTTCCGGCGCCGGCATCCCTAAGCGGCGCGCGAGGGAGCTGAAGAGGAAGCACTCAGGGGAAAGTGCTCCCTCGCGCCCGCCTGCCCAGACAGCCCGCCCACCCAGTGACCTGCCGCCCAGGAGCCCAGCAGCAGCACCACTGGACCCCAGGGAATCCCCCCAGCACTCCAATAGGTAAGGAGGCTGGAGGGATTAAATTTAAAAAATAAAAATGTGTTAGTGTGTGTGTGTTAGTGTGTGTTAGTGTATGTGTGTCTTAGTATGTGTGTATGTGTGTGTTAGTATGTGTGTGTTAGTGTGTGTATGTGTTAGTATGTGTGTGTGTGTTAGTGTGTGTGTGTGTGTGTTAGTATGTGTGTGTTAGTATGTATGTGTGTTAGTGTGTGTGTGTTAGTGTATGTGTGTCTTAGTATGTGTGTGTTAGTGTGTGTGTGTGTTAGTGTATGTGTGTCTTAGTGTATGTTAGTGTGTGTATGTGTGTTAGTGTATGAGTGTGTGTGTGTGTTAGTGTATGTGTGTGTTAGTGTATGTGTGTTAGTGTGTGTATTAGTGTTTGTGTTAGTGCGTGTGTTAGTGTGTGTGTCAGTGAGTGTGTCTGTTATTGGGTGTGTGTCTGCTAGTGAGTGTGTTACTGTGTGTGTCTGTTACTGAGTGTGTTTGTCTGTTAGTGAGTGTGTGTTTGTCAGGGAAAGTGTATGTTTTGTAAGTGAGTGTGTATGCGTCTGTTCGTGAGAGTGTGTCTGTGTGTCTCTTCAGCATTTACCTTTCTCCAGCGTCGGACTCCCCAGTGTCCGCCTCTCAGCTCCAAATGCAAATGCGTGGCAAGAGGCGCGCGCGCGCATTTAAACCGCCCATAGGAAAGCATTACTCAATGCTTTCCTATGGACGTTCAGTGTCTTCTCACTGTGATTTTCACAGTGAGAATCGCGGAAGCTCCTCTAGCAGCTGTCAATGTGACAGCCACCAGAGGCTGGATTAACCCTCAGTAACACCTGCAGGGTTAAAACTAGAGGGACCTGGCACCCAGACCACTTCATTGAGCTGATGTGATCTGGGTGTCTGTAGTGGTCCTTTAAGTGTGTGTGCATACCGCGGTCGCGGCGTCGCAGCCCTGCGACCAGGTGCCCGCCGCCATGTGTTGCAGCCCCGACCCGCGCTGAGTAAGCGAGGGGGGGCCCACGGATCAATTTTCGCACCGGGGCCCCATGGGTCATGTGTACGCCACTGTGCACATACACCTATTCAAATATACATACATGTTTGCATGTATATACACACGTTATACATACACACACAAATATAAATGTATACGCATACACATAAACACATGAAGAATAAAGAAAATGGGACCAGTCAATGCAAAAAACATCACTGGAAACTGTCAGCATATCTGCACAGACAACACAGCCAGACACAACAATAAAACCTACAGCATTAACCCCTTAAGACCACAGCCAAATGTACAAGTTGTGATCAAAACTAAACGTAAACAAAACCTGGCATTTGCGCTATATGTCTGTCCAACCGTAATTCACCTCTTTCATATTAAATGCACCCACACTTAATATATATCATTTTATTCAGGGGAAACAGGGCTTTCATTTAACATCAAATATTTAGGTATGAAACATAATTTAATATGAATAAAATATAAAAAAATGGGAGAAAATAAGATTTTTTTCAAATTTTCTTAGTTCTACATGATATTTTAACTGTGAATGTCAAAATACTGTTTGCTTTTACTGCAATAAAATACACATATTTGTATTCAGCGATGTCTCACGTGTAAAACAGTGCCCCCTATGTACAGGTTTTATGGTGTTTTGTGAAGTTACAGGGTCAAATATAGCATGTTACATTTTTCAGTTTTTTCACATTGAAATTTGCCAGATTGGTTACGTTGCCTTTGAGACCATATGGTAGCCCAGGAATAAGAATTACCACCATGATGGCATACCATTTGCAAAAGTAGACAACCCAAGGTATTGCTAATGGGGTGTGCCCAGTCTTTTTTAGTAGCCACTTGGTCACAAACACTGGCCAAAGTTAGTGTTAATATTTGAAAATGCAAAAAACTAATTTAAATGCCAATTTTGGCCAGTGTTTGTGACTAAGTGGCTACTAAAAAAACCTGAACATACCCCATTTGCAATACCCTTGGTTGTCTACTATTGCAAATGGAATGCCATCATGGGGGTAATTTTCATTCCTGGGCTATCGTATGGTCTCAAAGGCAACATAACCAACCTGGCGAATTTTAATGTGAAAAAACTGAAACGCAAGCCTTATATTTTACTCTGTAACTTTTGAAAACACCATAAAACCTGTACTTGAGGGGTACTGTTATACTCGGGAGACTTCGCTGAACACAAATATTAGTGTTTCAAAACAGTAAAACTATCACAACAATATCGTATGTGTAAGTGCCATTTGTGTGTGAAAAATGCAAAAAATTTCACTGAAGATATCGTTGTTGTACTACATTTTACTGTTTTGAAACACTAATATTTATGTTCAGCGAAGTATTCCGAGTAAAACAGTTCTCCACCATGTACAGGTTTTATGGTGTCTTGGAAAGTTACAGGGTTAAATATAGTGCTAGCAAATCAAATTCCCTGAACTTTTGGCCTGGGCTGTCAGGCAGGTCCTGCAAATTGTAATTAATAAAATGACCTAATTATGTAAAATTATTACATAAATATATACGTAGAATTATTATATATACGTATATACTTATGTATATAGATATATATATATATATATTATTTCGTTCTACATGTATTTTGATATCAATATATATATATATATATATATTAATTTTAAAATACAGTTAGAACTGAAATGGAAAAATCAAGCAATAAATTGATTATTTCTTTGTGTATCTGCCCCTGGCCAAATTAATGAAACAATGCGTGCACGCTCCCAGAAGTAATTAACACCAGACACAGGTTCCAGGTTGTTGAATAACTTAAGGAATGTTTATTCAGAGGGGACGGCAAGTCCCTTTTAAAGCAAAATTACATCATAGGTACTGTCAGAGATAACATGGAATAATACATCAATAATTGGTTAGGTGTTAAAGGACCACTCTAGGCACCTAGACCACTTCAGCTTAATGAAGTGGTCTGGGTGCCAGGTCCTTCTAGAGTTAACCCATTTTTTTATAAACATAGCAGTTTCAGAGAAACTGCAATGTTTGTGAATGGGTTAAGCCTTCCCCCAAAGCCTCTAGTGGCTGTCTCATTGACAGCCACTAGAGGCGCTTGCGTGCTTCTCACTGTGATTTTCACAGTGAGAGCACGCCAGCGTCCATAGGAAAGCATTATGAATGCTTTCCTATGAGACCGGCTGAGATCTTGCGCGTGCGCATTCAGCCGACGGGGAGGAGAAGAGGAGGATCGGAGGAGGAGAGCTCTCCGCCCAGCGCTGGAAAAAGGTAAGTTTTACCCTTTTCCCCCTTCCTGAGCCGGACGGGAGGGGGTCCCTGAGGGTGGGGGCACCCTCAGGGCACTATAGTGCCAGGAAAACGGGTATGGTTATCCCGAAAGCTTGTCAAAATTCTGTTAGTCCAATAAAAAGGTATTAAAAGATACAAATTTTATCTGATATTTACATTTACATCATTGGACTAATACAGCTACAATCTCTACATATATATTAGATATTTTTGGACATATATAATAATTTTCTATTATAATTTTCATTTTTAAGGGACTGCCTGACAATCCATGCAGTCTCCCTGCAGGCAATGCAGATTACTGCTGATCCTAAGGGCGTTGAAGTCTATATTTTACAGGACGGCATAGTACACCGTGGCAGCAAAATTGTTGGCAAAGAAAAG